ACTTTGTGCTCCTACCATGGATATCCTGAACACAAAGCTCTTCTAGTCTGAGCTACTAAGAGATACAACCCATTTGCAAATAAGAAGCTGTTGAGCAATTGGGAGAGAAAACAGTGGAGAAGGTATGGATATTTCCAAGACAGTGACAGAAGCAGAAAAAAAGGTAAGGAACAAAATCACCCTTGGGATCAGAAAAACTCTTCATACTAAACTTCCTTTTACTTGTGTCAGAATCAGTCTGTTACCTTTAACAAAAATTACATTGACTATGACCATGCTACTCATTCTGGTGCAACAGATTTTCAAAAAGCTCAGCTAAATCAGGGGCCCATCATGTGCAAGATGAAGTACCAGGTACAGCAAGGGATGTCCAGGGCATCAGGATACTTTCCCAGGCCCTCAGGAGTTTACAAGCTAGTTTTGGGACTTCCCATAATAATATCATGCCTGCTAATTTTTTTTAATTAAAAAAATTTTTTAATGTTTATTTTTAAGAAAGGGGGGGAGGGGCAGAGAGAGAGGGAGACACAGAATCTGAAGCAGGCTCCAAGCTCTGAGCTGTTAGCACAAAGCCCAACACAGGGCTCAAAATCATGAACCCATGAGATCATGATCTGAGCTGAAGTTGAAGGCTTAACTGACTGAGCCACCCAGGTGCCTGGTATTTAATGCTGCAGCTGACATTTGGAGGCTAAGAGGAAAGAGTTCAAAAAGGAAAATCAAAGTGTCTTACAGTTAAAAAGGGCTATGCTATGCTTGTGGGTGAAGTCACTTGGTAAAATATTTTATTACCTTTCTTCAGCATTAATAAGGATAACAGAAAAGTGATACTCAAATTTAATCTAACTCCTTTTTCATCTTTTAGATACAGTAAAATATCAGCTTTTCCAGGATCATGAATAATCAGAAATTTAGATGATTTTACCTGATAGAACCACTCTCAATATGGCTATATCCTAAAGAAGAAAGAAAGGAAAAGAAAGAAAAGCGCCTAAGCTGTCATGCCTAACAGATTGCCTTGTTGCTGTTTCTGCCAGCTTCAGAGAGAAGAAATGTTTCCATCCTGCTCCAGTTCTCAACAGAAGTAAATAAGGACGTAATGTGGCTGATTTCCGTTCTCGTGGCTCAATATTAAGTTGGCTGAGGAAATTGCTGTTTGCACAAATAGTTCTGGGATAACACAAAGCAGGGAAAAACACTGATGCCCAGATGGTATTGATTTCAAGTATACTGAGATATTAATTCTTTATTCTCCATAATTAAATGTGTTCTAGCCTGTATTTACAGCTCATCACTCTTCTTTGCCTGCACTGTTACACTTGAAAAATGGAGACGTTCCCTCATACCTGGCACACAAATGGTCAAAGTGGCATTCCAAATTGGCAAGGGGGAGAAAAAGCAAATGAAAGTAGATTTTTAGCACTCCTCTATCTTTTGGGAGGAACAATCATAAAAATGTTCTCCTTATACTCAAGCACTATTATAGAGATCTGAAACATAAAAAGGTTAGTAATATTCAAACAGAAATCACCATTTTGAGGGTCCTTTTCTAAAAATTTCCTAATTAAAATGGCCCTTATGCTCCCAAGAATATCTTGGAGCCATCACACACCTCATAACTAGCATGTGCGCACTCAGCTCAAACTTCACTGTATTTTCTGGCCAACTGAAAAACCCCTTCCTCTGTCTTTACTGGAGCTTTGCTTTAAGCCCACGATTATTTCCTGTAACCGTAACTTATATCCTTTTGCCATAAGCATTTGCTGAGCTACTGGATGCAAACGACAAAGATCAATGTTAAGGGGCCTAGATTTATGATCTCCTTACCCAATTTTTTTCCTCTATAGTCCAAAAAAATCAAAGTCCGTGTAACTAAAACAGAATTTCTCATTCCCACCCTTAGATATACTTGTCCAGCATATACCGATCTTAGAGGATAGCCACATGATATAATTCTTTCAAATTTGCAAGATCAAAGTTATAAGATGGCTCCTTAGTAAGAAACAGGGACTGATGCGCCTGATTTTATCCCTGGATGAAGCCATGGCTTGTGAGACCTTAGTTTTCACATCTACAAGGCTATTTTCAGAGTAATGACCTCATATAGTAGCTGTGAACAAATTTGGGTATATTCTAAGTACATGCTATTGATATTATTGTTTCAGTTCCTAGATGTTTTTCAATTAAATCATACTCCGTCCTACCCAAGGTCACAGTCCTTTTATCCTACCTGGGTACCACACTATTCTTGTAATTTCTAAATGGGTCTCATTAACTCCAATCACACCCCAAACACTGCTCCTCTCAGAAGCGGTCCTGAACACACATCCAAGGAAGTCAAGATGATTTAAAAATCTATTGATTTTCCACTGCCCAAGAGATAAACTTTGAATGTTGATCAGGCATCTGTAATTCTCCAGGAAAATTCAGGTAGCAGAACAGATGTAGCTGGATGGAGCCCAGCAGTGCCTGTGTGCAAGATTATAACTGTTTGCGGAAGGAATGAATGGATCTAGAAGTCTGTTTTTTAGTTACACCTCTATCACCAATTAGCTATGATCTCTAGTGGTCTGTTTCCTCATCTAGAGGCTGATTATCATCATCATTCTCTTCTTTGCTTAAACCTATAATCTTCCCAGCTTCTTGTCATGGCTCAAAGCCTTAACTACACTTGTTTTACTCTAATCTCTCCAAATAACTTTTATTTTAAAGATCTGGATCTGTATTGTTAAAGATTCCTGTGTATTTTTTTTCTTTCTGATATTGTTGTAAATAAAGTTGTTTTCTTAATGTAAAAAAAATTAAGTTCTAGTTCTAGTTGTTCCCTTTGCTTAAAACTTCCTGCCCCTCCCTAACAATATCTTCCTGTGGAAATTCCACCCTCTCTACAGTATCCAACTCCATTTTTACCTTATTCAAGAAGCCCTCTCACTTGAACTCTGATCATTACCCTCTTAATTTCAGATGAATTTCTTTTGCTCTGAAAGTCACCTAGCATCCTGAGAGTACTCAACTATAACTTATCAGTTTCCCTCTTCCATCAAATATCTATCTCTCTGAAAGACTGTAAGCCTAAAGATGAGGGTCTAAAAACTCTCAGCCTTTGGCATAGCATTGGATTCAACATTTTGAATTCAGATGCCCAATCAACCAGGCAGTCAGAAAGGTACTTGCTACAAACTTACTAACTTTCCAGAGTCTCAGACTTAAGTTAAGTGACTTGCTGAGTCACTTTTCCATACTTAAACCCAAATTCCATGCAATTTCTATTGCCACAGAAAATCAGAGGAAACTACCTATTTTATACTTGTATGGGTTTTTCGTTTGTTTGTTTTTTGGAAGAGGAATTTTTTTCTTTTTTTTTTTTTTTTTTTTTTTTCTAGAGAGAGAGAGTGAGCAGGGGAGGGTCAGAAAGAGAGGGAGTCACAGACTGAAACAGGCTCCAGGCTCTGAGCTGGCAGTCACCACAGAGCCCGACGCGGGGCTCGAACCCACGAACCATGAGATCATGACCTAAGCGAAAGTCAGACGCTTAACTGACTAAGCCACCCAGGCGCCCCTGGAAGAGGAATTTTTAACAAGCTAACAAGTGATAGCAATGCCCTTAAGTTTAAAGAACTACCATCAGGGGCGCCTAGGTGGCTCAGTCAGTAAGCGTCTGAGCTCAGGTCATGATCTCATGGTCAGTGGGTTCGAGCCCCGCTTCAGGCTCTGTGCTGACAGCTCAGAGCCTGGAGCCTGCTTCGGATTCTGCATCTCCCTCTCTCTCTCTCCCTCTCCCCTGCTCGTGTTCTGTCTGTCTCTCTTGCAAAAATAAACATCAAAAAATTAAAAAAAAAAAACTACCATCAAAAGCAAAGGAATATGAATGGTTTTAGGAAGTGACAATTATTACATACGGACAGTGAGGTGATAATTCTGAAGGCAACAGATGGAAGATGGAAGACTTGGGTTGTTAAAAGACCACATCTCTTCAACTTTCTGAGACTTAATTTTTCACATCTGTACAATGAAAGTGTCTATAATGCTTTTCTGGCACTTACGTGGCTCGGTCGGTTAAGCATCTGACTTCTGCTCAGGTCATGATCTCATGGTTTGTGAGTTCGAGCCCCACATCAGGCTCTGTGCTGATAACTGGAGCCTGGAGTCTGCTTCAGATTCTCTCTCTCTCTCTCTCTCTCTCTCTCTGCCCTTCACCTGCTCCCACTCTGTCTTTCTCTCTCTCTCAAAATAAAAACAATTAAAAAAAAGACAACTGAAGAGATGCATCTTTCTGATGGTCAGTTATAATCTTGAAGTCATAAATGAGAGCATAGAAGCCTTCAATTGTTTCCCACTGTTCTCCAAATAAAAGTCAAACTTCTTGTACTGGCTTATAGACACTACAAGATTTGGCTCATTTAAGTCTCTGGCCTCATCTTCCTTCCTCTTTTTGGGCCCACATCAGTAGCCTTTTTTCTCTTCCTTGACCTTGCTAAGTTTGTTACCACTATAAGGCCTTGGCATTTGCTATTCTTTCTGCCTCGAATACCCTCGCTCAGATCTTCATAAGGATTACTCTTTTTTTCTATCACATTGTGCTGTTTAATTTTCTTTAAAGTACTCACAACCATCTATTTTTTTTCACTACTATTTTAGATATCAGTGTTACCTGTTGACTTGTTTTATAGTGGGCCTCGCTCCAGAATATCAACTACTTGGGAGCTGGGCCACAGTCGGCTGGAACCCCGGTGTGTCCCAGGCCCCCAGGGTAGTACCTGGCAGGTAGCTGATGCTCAGTAAACGTACAACGGCCGAACTCCCGCAGCTCAGGCCTGGCCTTCAAAAGGACCTCGGACATCCTAGCTCCCTTCACGTCCGACCCCGACCCACCGGTTCAAACCCAGGCCTGAGCACCTCCAGTACCTCCATCGCACGACCCCGACCGATCCTTCACTTACCAAACTGGCACTCGGCTTGTTCCAGCGAGACCCGTGGCTTGACCCGGAAGTGTTCTCGGGCAGGCGGGACCAACTCCGCGCTGAAGGAGTGCTTCCGGGGCAGAAGGAGCAGCTTTTCGGCAGCCGTGGCGCCGGTGAGGGTGGATGGGCACAGGGTGCGGGGCTTCCAGGGAGGTGGCAGGCGGGGTGCGGGCGCTAGGGGTTCGGGGCCGGGCCGTATATTGGCTGAGGAAGGGCAGGAGGTGGCCTGGGGCTAGGCGGCCGACACCCCACGGCTGGACGCGGAGGCTGTAAAGCGCTTTGATTGTTGAAGCGCTACGTGTGTGTGAGGAACTCTTAGTCGTTTTCAGCGTCGGAGAAGTTGAGAGCGCTTGTTGATCCCAGATCTCCGGTTTGGGATCTGGTCTTGTGTGTACGAACAAGTGAGAACGTCTGTCTGTCCGTCTAGAGAAAGCCATGTTAATAATGACAGTAATGACACAAACAACCACCGCCTCTGTCCTAACAGCAGGTGTTACCTATGCGAGGCTGTGTGCCAGCCTCTGTTCCGAGAGCCCCTCGCGTACCCCGTGTGGAGGAGCCTTTGTAGGAACCCTGCCAATCAGGTGTTCTAGCCCGTGTTACAATTGAGGAAACGGAGACGAGCTAGCCAGAACTGACTTCCTCGCAGTTACCGCCCTCCCGAAAGTTGGAAGAAAGTCTTATTCCGGAGCCCGTGCTCTTAGCTGCTAAGCTAAACCCCTTCCATTTTGGTCACTGTGTGGCTGGAAGTTCGCAGGGAAAATGGGGGGAGGTATATGTCTATATGTGTGTACATATGTATGTAAATGTGTACATTTTTATTTTTAAGAAATATGACTCAGCCGTTTAATTTTACTTGCAATGTTCAGTTCTTGGAGTCTTTAAACTCTAGTTATGAAAATAACACAGTATAGGATGTATGGAAAACTTACAAAAACATTAAATAGTGCAGTGCTGTATACCTGAAATTTATTCTTTTTTTCCCCCTCCCTTTTCCTGTTAGAGTATGAATCCATTGAGAACAGGGATAGCACAGCCATTCTAATAATGAAAGTGATGGCAATGGTAATGTGAACAGCCACCACCTTTCCACTTAGGCAAATGTCTGGCACATTCTAGATGCGCATTAAGTCTTTGTTGCACAAATGAAAGAATAGAGATAACCAGTGTTTAATATTTGGGAATACGTTCTTCCAGTCTTTTATAAAATCATATAGATTATTTATGTAATATGTTTGTTATATATGCTGTGTAGTACTTGCTCCTTATCTGCAGGTGCTGTGTTCCAAGATATGAGATAATAAAATGCCTATGTGGTGAGGTGAGGTGAGGTGAATGATGCAGGCACTGTGATGTAGCATTAGGCCACTGTTGACCTTATGACAACACCTCAGAAGGAGGAGCATTTGCTTCCAAACAGTGGTTGACCTCAGGTAACTGAAACCTCAGATAAGGGGGACTAATGTATACAGTGTACATTAAACAGTGTACTATTTAAAAAATATATATTATCATGTATTATAACTTGGAAAGAGCATAAGGAAAGTGAAATGATAGTGTAAAAAAGTACAAAACATTGAGCATTATGCAAGAACTGTGTAGTCTTTCCTGTGAGACTCGGAGTAAATGGGGCAGCAGTTGTGTTCTAAATTCTCAGTCTCCAAAGCTTGGTACAAAGTAGGTACTCAAAAAATGTTTGCAAATGAATGAATGAATATTTTGGAGTTGGTTTGTATGTGTGTAGGTAGTTCATCTGGACTTTTTTCCTATGTGTTTTGGGAATGTGTAATCTATGTATATCATACACCCATATGGTCTAGGCTCCACGGTGTTGTGTAAATCTGCCTTTCTAGCCTTATACCTTTGCATCATGACTGTTGTTTGTCTGTGTTCCATGTTCATTCCATTCACACTTCCAGGTATGTTGTTTCCACACCCTTGAATTTTCTCATTGACACCTTCACCTGTCAAAATCCCAGGTACCCTTTAAGGGAAGTGCTGCAAGCTCCGACACCTACAGGGGCTAGGTGGGTGACAAATGAGTCAAGTAGGTTTAGGTGGAGATAGCAGGGAACTAGATAATATTCTGACTAAAAGGCCCAGCAGCTCTTTGGCTTGAGCTAATTATTACCATGTCAAAAGTGGGCCTGGTGTTAACAGATGTTTCAACCTCAGGGGAAGTTGGAAATCTATGTTCATATATATAAAGTCTGATTTTTAGGTGTTAGCAATTAGTACAAGTTTAAACACTGTGCAGGCCAAATAAAAACATTTCTAGTCTGGGTTTAGCAGCCATTCCCAGTTTGTGGCCACTATTCTGTGCTTATTTCAGATACGTTGTACATGAATCATATTGTCTACTTCCAGCAAAATTCTTCTTATCTGTTCTTTTAGCATTTTATGTATATCTCAGTTATAGTGCTGTTTCCAAGCTACCTTGGTTCTTAGTATGTCTGTCTTTTCTAGCACATTAGCAATGTTTTGATGGCTTGGATTGGGTCTAATTCTCCATTAGTAAATATTGATATAAAATAAATGCTTATATATACCTAAGGCTTTAGTATGTGTATAAGTATGTATGTGTGAGATACATTTATTTCTTGTCTGATAACATTTGGCTGTCTTGGAAAATAGTGTCTGCTTTTTGTAAAAAAACCCAGTAGCATCTTGGCTTCAGTTGCCAAAGAGATGTACTTTTGGAAGGGACTGAATTGGTTAACATTGTTATTCAAAAGCTTGTTTGATTTAGATGCTGTCTGATGGCTTAAATTTCATAATCTTTTTTCTCAGAAATTTAAGTAGAAATAATTAATGCTAAGATTTTTTAGTAACCATCAATAAGAGGAAAAATTGATAAACTGGACCTCATTGAAATGAAAAACAATTGCTCTGTGAAAGTCCCTGTGAAGAAGGTGAAACAATAAGCTACAGTCTGGGACAAAATATTTACAAACCACATATCTGACAAACGACTTGAATCTATAATACATAACGAGCTCTCAAAAAACCCCACAAAAAGGCCAAATCCAATTAGAAAATGAGCAAAAGATACAAATAGGTATTTCACTGAAGAGGATGTCCAGATGGCAAATAAGTACATGAAGAGATGTTCTTTATTATTAGCCATTAGAGACACGCAGCTTAAAGCCACAGTGAGATTATTATTACACACCTGTCAGAATGGCTCAAAGATAAACCACCAGATGCTGGTGAGAATGCTGAGAAACTTGACGACTCATACAGCACTGGTGGTAATGTAAAATGGTACAGCTACTCTGGGAAAGAGTGGCAGTTCTCATAAAACTGAACAAGTACTTAACATATGATCCAGCAGTTACACTCTTGGTCATTTATTGCAGAGAAATGAAAGCTTATGTTCTCACAAAAAGCTGTACATTGATGTTTGTAGCCGGTTTATTTGTAGTAGACCCAAACAGGGAATAGCACAGATATCCTTTGATGGGCAAATGGTAAACAAACTGAAATACATTCATACCAAGGAATACTACTGAGCAAAAAAGGGAAGAAACTATTGACACAATAACTTTGTTGGATTTTGGGGGACCTAGGCTGAGTGAAAACAACCTCCAAAGGTTATACACAGTATGAATTCATTTATATAACATCTTGTATAAAGATGGAGAAATAGCATTGGTTGCTATGGGTTGGTGTGGGTGGGGTGGGATGTGTCTAAAAAATGATAACCCATGGGGTGCCTGGATGGCTCAGTCGGTTAAACGTCTGATTCTTGATTTCGGCTCAGATCATGATCTTGCATTTTGAGGGTTCAAGCCTTGTGTTGGGCTCTGTGCTGACAGTGCAGAACCTGCTTGGGATTCTCTCCCTCTCTCTTTCTGCCCCCTCCCCTGCTTTCTCTTTCTCTCTCAAAATAAATAAACATTAAAAATATATACATTAAAAAAAAGGATAACCCAGGGGGTCCTTGTGATTGAACTGTTCTGTATCCTGAGTATGGTGATGGTCACACAAATCTATACGTATGATAAAATCTCATTTTTTAAAAAATTTTTAAAAAATGTTTTTATTTATTTCTGAGAGAGAGAGAGACAGCATGAGCAGGGGAGGGTCAGAGAGAGAGGGAGACACAGAATCTGAAATGGGCTCCAGGCTCTGAGCTAGCTGTCAGCACAGAGCCTAACACGGGGCTCAAACCCTGAACAGTGAGATCATGACCTGAGCCGAAATCAGATGCTTAACCGACTGAGCCACCCAGACACCCCTATATGAATGATAAAATTTCATAGAACTAAATACACATACACGAGTGTCTATAAAACTGATGATATAGTCATTGGGTTGTCCCAGTTTCCTGGTTGTCATATTATACTGTGGCTATACAAGTTGTTGCCGTTGAGGAACCTGGGTGGAGGATATTCAGATCTGTGTATTTTTTATAGCGGCATGTGACTATGGTCATCTCAAAAAGCTTAAATAACTTACACTAAAAAACCCTATAGAATTAATTTTTTCCTTTGGCTTTTATTTTACCAGGCAATGATCTAATCATGTCAGATAAAGATGACATTGAGACTCCAGTGATAACTGAACCAGCTGCCATCCTTGAAGATGGGAACTGTGAGCCAGCCAAGAATTCTGAGTCTGCTGACCAAAGTGCCAAGCCAGAGGATAAATCGGAACCTGTAGTTTTCACTCGGAAAAGACCAGAGTCCAAACCTTCCATCAACCTTGAGACTTTAGAAGTTCTCCCTGTGGAGGCATCACAGGCTGCAGGCAAAGTAAAGTATTTATTAAAACATTGGAATTAAAAGTTTGGGCTAAAAGGAATTTGGAATCAAAACAATTTAAGATTGTACCTATTTCTTTCCTTTGAAAGCCATAAAACACAATTTTCTCAGTTTTATAAATAGCTTTAGGAGTAGTTAGTTGCCTTTGTTACATGGTGCTTAAATTCAGGTAACATACATCTGTCAAACAATACAGTTTTGTTTTGTTTTGTTTTTTGGAGAGAAAGGGAGAGCGCACATGTGCATGGTGAGATGGGTAGAGAGAGGGAGAGAGAATCTTAGGCAGGCTCTGTGCCTAGTACGGAGCCCAACATGGGGTTCCATTTCAGGACCATAAGATCATGACTTGAGCCAAAATCAAGAAGTCGGACACCCAACTGACTGAGCTACCCTCAGTGTTGCCACCAAATAATATAATTCTATAGCTAAATGATATGTATTTGTTCATCTGTATGCTGGGCTAATAATTAGATACCTTGTCTGTATACTCTCTTATTCTCTACTTTTCCATTTTCTTTTGCCTTTTGTTTTTCTGCCTACTGGGAAGAATAGGAGACTGTCTCCAAAGATGTGCCTCAGACAGGATGGGGATATTGGGGCAACTGGGGCAAGTCCTTACTCTCTTCAGCCTCAGCTACAGTAGCTACAGTAGGTAAGATCATCCATCGCTTTATTAATTTTGTATGTGTTTTGCTATAGATGTGTGTTAAAAATTACTTTGTTAAGAATTTCTCTTGCATGTTTATTTAAGGGCTTTATAATTTGAGAATTGGTTAGGAAGGATAGGCTGGTTTATAGTACACCCAGAGTTTGTAGCAGCCTTTTCTCATTAGCATTCTTATTAGAGTTTCTCATTAACCAGGAATTGTTAATGTAAAACTATTCTGTGTTGGTACTGATTCAGGTCTATTGTTTTGTTTTGTTTATTTTTTTGGTAAGATTACACTCCCAAACATTAGTTATGTATGGTCAAAATAATAGGCAAGTTTGCTTCCTCAGTTTTGGTGACTAATAGTAAGTAGTACTCAGATTTAAAACTGTTGCTGTTTTTCTCATTAGGCCAAGGTATTTCAAATGTCATTGAGAAGGCAGAGACTTCTCTTGGAATTCCCAGTCCCAGTGAAATTTCAACAGAAGTCCAGCATGCAACAGGTTAGTATAGGAAACATTAAGATCTAGAATTATGGGTCAAAATAGAATACTTGAGTTTATTTTTCAGTATATATTTATTGAGCATCTGATATTCAGGGCATCATGGAACTGGTGAGAAAGGGGATTGGACTTCAACTAACAGGTCTGTGTCCTTTAACCACTTTGCTCATCTGTGAAATGGGATGATATTTTATGTGTCCAAGAATGGTTACAAACATTAAATAAGGCCATGGGTGTAGAAGATAAAAGTTGCCTAGTGCTGTGTTTGGCACCATTGAGTTAGACCCAAGAAGAGTTAGTTGAATTTGACCCCATTTGGCACAAAAAGTATTTTAATGTGTTTCGTTTTGGGGTTTTATTTTTTGTGTGTTTGAATTTTTATGAGGGTGAAATTTAATTTTGATCACTTGTTGGGATCAGTGTACTCTCGGTTAAGCCACAAAGGGCCGAGTTTTAAACCAGGGATCAAGATGGCCTGGGACCAGAAAATAGAAGACTTTTCAGGCTCTGATATTGCCCCATCTCTCAGAGGCTTTATTGTCTTCCACTCTTCTCTTTGTCTCATTTTTTTCTCTCAAACATGCGTAATTTTATAGGACAAAATTTAAAATATGCCGTATTTTAGAAAGTCAGATTTATGGATTTTGTAATTTATTTGTGTGACTAATTAAATGTAAATTAGATGTGGATATATAATTTACATCTTTATAAGAGTAAAATTTACTGTTTTTAAGTGTACAATGTATGTGTTTTGACAAACATACAGTCCTATTTACATAATATACTCTCAGTCCATTGTGATTATACAGTATAGAGTATTTCCTTTATCTGTATAGATAATCAAAATATAAGAACATTTTCATCACCCCCCAAAAGACCCCTCATGCCCCTTTGTGGTACTCCCATCATTTACTCTATTTTTGACAATTCCTGATCTGTTTTCTGCCTAAAGTTTGACCTTGTCCAGAAGATCATATACATGGAATCATATAGTATATAGTGTACTGTGACATATATCAGTAATTTGTTCAAAAGACTAGATTTTATTTTTTAAATGAAATGAATAAAAGCGATGTTAGCTTTCATTTAAAAATAAGTAGCTTAGGGGCGCCTGGGTGGCTTAGTCGGTTGGGCGTCTGACTTTCGCTCAGGTCATGATCTCGCGGTTCATGGGTTCGAGCCCCGCGTCGGGCTCTGTGCTGACTGCCAGCTCGGAGCCTGGAGCCTGTTTCAGTCTGTGATTCCCTCTCTCTCTGACCCTCCCCTGCTCACGCTGTCTCTCTCTCTCCTAGAAATAAATAAAAATATTAAAAAAAAATAAATAAATAAAAATAAAAATAAGTAGCTTAAAATAATAAAACAGAAAGGGCTAAGGCTACCTTGTATGTAGGAAGCAGGTTCTGATTTTTTAAAGTCACATGCATGCTGATAAAGCAACACTCTTAATAGACCACCCCTTCATGTTTATACATTTCCTTCCTGTTGTAGGAGAGACAAATGCCAAAGATAACGCAAACTCCTCCCCATTGACTGGGCCATTTGGTGTATTCTCGACCATCTCTACTGCTGTTCAGACCACAGTGAGTAAAATGCATGGTGGACTGCAACTCTCTATGAATATAGTGGGTTTCTGTCTCTTTCTCCCTCTTTTTCTTGAAAAGCCATGAGGACTGATCACTCTTAAAGGAGTCCAAATTGCTGAAGATAAATCACTTTGATCTTAGGGGTAGAGTGAGAGCTACTTGGAAACTTTCTTTAAAGGAGTAAAGGAGAGAGAGCAGAGGATGAAGGGTAGGAGAGGCAATGTACATAATATTTTATGGACTATGAATTTAGAGATTGGTGGCCTAGAAAACTGCCTTACAAAAATAATTCTTTTCATAATGGAGTAACTATAGATGATTAGAAACATTTTTAAAGGATTTTATTGGAAACTTGATATGTTTCTTACATGAGGATAGATAACTAGTACTTTTTAATTTTAACTTCTTATGGAAGTAAAACGTGCAGAAAAGTGTAGTCCTAAGTGTTCAGTTTGACTTTTCACACATGAACGTAGACTAAGGAACAGCACGTTTGTTCCCCCTGTGCCCTCTCCCAGCTGTCTCTGATTCTTCCTTTTGCCCACCAAGTTGACCACAGTCCTGACTTCTATCCTCAATGATTTGCCTGTTTTTAAACTTCACATAAATGGAATCATACTATATGGACTCTGTTGTACTTGGCTTCTTTCAGTCAACATTATGTGTGTAGGATTTCTCCATCGTGTAGTTTGTGTGGTGTATTCTATTTTCTTTGCTGTATTCCATTATGTGACCGTCAAGCATTTATTCCATGGTTGGTGAGGATTGTGGTTGTTTCCAGTTTTTAGCTTTTACAATTAGTACCACCATGGACACTTTGTATGTCTTTTGATGAACCTCTGTATACGTTTCTGTTGAGTATGCAGCCATGTGTAGAGTTGCTGAGTCAGGACATTCATGTGGTCAGCCGTAGTAGATACTGACAAACAGTCGGCCAAAGTGGTTATGCCCGTTTACATTCCCACAAGCAGTGAATGGTTGTTTTAGTTGCTCCATATTCTTGACAGTGCTTGACAGTGCTAACAATACCATGTTTTTATGATTACATTATGAAACATGATTACATGTTTTTATGTAATCAAAACATGCAGATGTCTTTTTTCAGTATTATTGTAATGAAGTTGCATGTGTTTCCTAGGGAAAGAGCGTAATCAGTGGGGGTTTGGATGCCTTAGAATTCATTGGGAAAAAGACAATGGATGTAATAGCAGAAGAGGATCCTGGATTTAAAAGAACGAAGGGTCTGATGAACCGGAATTCTACATTGTCTCAGGTACTGTTTGTCTTTATCTGTTTATTTCATGTTTCTGTTTTGATCTATATTTTTTGCCTGTGGTAGACTTTGTTAGTATTTATTTCCTTTTGAAAACTTTTCAGTGATTCGTCCATTAAGGCTTTTTTGGGGCAGGGGGGAGTGAGAGCTCCAGTTATGAAAATGCCCAGTTCTTTTTTTTCCTACTCTTTATTTTCTGCAGGAGCCTCTTGTTGAAGCAGTACAAGATGACAAGCCCTTTCAGAGCTGTTGAGTAGATTAACGTTTAAAGCACTTTCAGAGAAACACCTGGTTCCTTGGGTGTTATTTACCCTGGCCAGGATCAGAGTATGTGTGATCATTTTTTTCCCCAGCAGCTCCTTAGCTGATCAGATTTGAATTGCAGTGCCAAGAATAAAGGGCAGTACTCTGTACTGTTGCGTCTCAGCTCTGCTTCCCTCAGCTCTCAGAACTCACCCTTGAGCTCTCATTACTTACTGCAGTGTAATCCTCCATCTTTTTTTCAGGTGTTAAGAGAGGCAAAGGAGAAAGAAGAGCTATGGACCTCCAATGAGGTTACCTTGGAAACAGACAAGAAAACTCATTATGGGCTACTCTTTGATGAATTTCAAGGCCTTTCGCATCTAGAAGCTCTGGAGATGCTTTCCCGAGAAAGTGAGATGAAGGTAATTCCAAACCCAAAATTTCAAATGGATGGTCTCCAAGCAAAAGAGTGCTGTATAGTTTCTTCTCTTTCTGTACAGTTGGAAGATGAAATGTATTTCACATGGAGGCTTGAGATTCTTTGAAAATATTATACCAACACAAACAAACAAACAAACAATGTTGGAACTAATTGCTACAAATAGAATGAGTCAAGTGTTCTCAAAATTTAAACAAAAAAACCCCAGATTAACCAAGAAGTTTTAATAGCACATCTGTTATTTTTCCTTTGCCTTGGTCTTTTTGTTTGTTTGTTTTTTTGTTTTTGTTTTTTTTGGTAATCTCTCTGGCTTAAGCTGCCAATTGGATACAGTTACCTGTTAGTTTTTAATTGATTCAAGACTGCTTCATTTCCCCCTAATTTCTTGGCCATTGTTAAACACTAATAATTTCCAGATGTTTCTGGCTTATGTTATTTTGGAAGTATAAATTCTCCCTACCTTTTTGTAGTGATTAGCCTCTTGTATTAAGGTTCTTAAGGAATAGTTTATATTGGCTGGTGAGCTCATAGTTTTTTTTTTTTTTAACTTTTTTTTTTAAATGCTTATTTAATTTTGAAGGAGAGACAGACTGAGCATGAGCAGGGCAGGGGCAAAGAGAGGGAGGGAGACACAGACTCCGGAGTAGGCTCCAGGCTCTGAGCTGTCAGCACAGAGCCCGATGTGGGGCTTGAACTCATGAGCGATGAGATCATGACCTGAGCTGAAGTCACATGCCCAACCAACTGAGCCACCCAGGCATCCTACTCATAATTTTTATTTTAATTTGGCCTGTACCCTCCTGTTCATTTGAAAATGTTTTTATTTTTCTTTCATGCTTTCACAACTTTTTAATCTTATATCCATTCAGGTGAAATCTATTCTTAATTCTCTAAGTGGAAAAGAATTAGAGACTCTGAAACATGAATTGGAGGAACTCAAGGAAGCATTTTCCTTAGCAGAGTTCTGTGAGGAAGAGGAAGAAGAGAAAAAAGGTAATATGAAAATCCAGCATTTGAGTGGAAAGCATATGGCATGTTTATATGTAGTGTAATGCCCTTGAGATAAATTATTTTCTCTTCAGTTATACTAGCCTGGCTTTACTTTTTGCTGCCTTGTCCCTGACCAGGCGTTGATATGACCAGTTGGCCTTATGTACATATTTTTACCCCACTCTCCCTCTGCCCTGCCCTTGCCCCCCAAGCTCTTTGTGGCTTCTCTAGGTCTAATCTGGTAGCTCTTTTTTGGTTAGAGAGTTACCCTTGTTAGATTTGTGCCTCAGTATGACTGGTCATCCCTATGAGCTTTTATATCCCTAGATACTGCTCCTGTGCCTCTCTGACTGCTGTGATCCCTGTCTTCATCTTGAATCCAGGCATGTAGGGTGGGAGTTATCCAAAATGCAGGTGATAATTTGTCTTTTTACTTTCAAAAGGGTTTTTTTTTTTGTGCCATATTTTTAACATCTGCATACTCCCAAAATTTAAGTGTAGTAACTACTCACTTTTGCAAAATTATCAGGAAATAAGTTTGTTTACATAAAGCATCATTTCTAGTCAACAGAATCGTAATCTTTAAGAGTTGTTTTATTTTAAAGATTAGCTGGAAATTTTTCTAATAGGTATTACATACTATTTTTTTAGTAGAATGTAATGAGTATAGTTTTTTGCCCTTTTTTTTTCCTTTTGATGAAACAGTCAGTTATAAACATTAAAAGTGAATAGAAAAATTCCCTCAGGGTCCATCAAGACACATGGGCCAATCACCCATGTGGTAGATTAAATCAGTGGTTTGAAAAGTGTGGTCGGCAGAGACTTGGGACCCCAAGATCTCTTCAGAGAATCTGTGAGTCAAAACTCTGCGTAATAATACCAAGATGTTATTTTATTTTTAAAAAATTTATCATTTTGACATTTGCACTGATGGTGCAGAAGCAGTGGTGAGTAAAATTACTAGTGTCTTAACACAAATCAAGAGAGGGGCATCTGAATGTATTAATACTGTATTTTCAGTGCCATGCATTCACTGCCAGTTTCATTTAACCTTGTTCTTATGTAGCAATTATTAATCTAAGTCTTGACCCTTGAATATATTACTTTTCATATTTTGTGTGATACATATTGAAGTTGTCTCCAGGAAAAACACTGGTATTGTTTACATTGTAAGCTGAAGTTGCTGTTTTTTTCATGGAACACCATTTTTACTTAAAAATATTGTAATAAAAAAATTAAAAAGAGATTGTAGTCACACAGACTGTTCAGAGCAGGATGTACTTAAAACAACATATCACCACAGAGTAAATGTAAAAGCAGACCGAAGAGTCTAGTTGTCTTTAAGTGAGGCATTAAAGAGATTTGCAGAGATATAAAACAATGGCATTCATCTCACTAAAATTTTTCTTTTTTGGCAAATACAGTTTTCCTTAAAATTTATATCAAGTAGTGGGTTTATTGTTGTATTTAAAGAATTAATAAGTACTTCAAACATTTCACTTTTAATTTTTAATATGATAAACGTTGAGATATTAACTTACATTACAAAAGAGTCTCTGGAGTTCTCAAAAAGTTTTAAGAGTATAAAAGGATCCTGAGCCCAAAATGTTTTTGAGAACTGCTATATTAAATTATCCTAAACTGCTTTGGTTTTGGAAATGTCTCTATTACTTTTTAGAATTGTGTGCATCTTTATTTTTTTCTGAATATTTGCCCATCTTTTAATTTTCTTCAGTATCAATGAGCTTATATTCCAATATCATCTGAATCTCATTTTCAGTTTGTTTGTTTTTAACATTTATTTATTTTTGAGGGAGAGAGAGAGCATGCGTGCATATGTAAGCTGGGAAGAGGCAGAGAGAGGGAGACAGAGGATCCAAAGCAGGATCCATGCTGTGAGCACAGAGCCTGATGCAGGACTTGAACTCACAAACCATGAGATTATGACCTGAGCTTATGAAATCAAGAGTTGGCTACTTAACTGACTGAGCCATCCACACGTCCCTGAATCTCATTTTCTATCTAATCTGGTGGAAAACCAGTTAACTAGCCATATTCAAGTTGTGTACTGAAAGCAGGGCACTTTGAGTGAGAGTCTTAGGGTCTTTCTTATGAGAGAAGGAAGTAAAGTAGAATGCATGGATTTTATACTAAGAGGCTTTATCTATTTTGTTCCCATTTGTGTTCTGCACTGTATTCTAAGAAGTCAAATTGGCTGGTTATATAACCTCTTACTCTACACTCTACGTAAAGATACTGGTCCTGAGATGAAATGGCTCTTGAATGTAAGTTTTTAAAACTTACCTGCAGTATCGAGAAGACAGTATAGATAGCATGGTGGATAAAAGGATGGGTTTTGGGGTTAGACTTGGGTTCAAATTCAAGATCTGCTGTTTCCTAAGCTATGTGACCTTGGAGAATTATTTAACAATGAACCTCTGTTTTCTCAGCTGTCAGAAGAGAATGCTAATTCCTTTCAGGTTGTTATAAGGACTAATGAAATATTTAGGATATGACACATAGTAAGCAGTCAACAAATGGTGGCTGCTATTTTCATGATTAGGATGGCATAAGTAAATAGATAAAGGTCTATACTTAGCAGCAAACCCATAAATTAAGCTTGATTTACTTAAGTTGCTCTGTTGTTCCTAACTAAGCCCTAGTGTGATAATCCCCAGTTATTTATAAACTTAATTTATTTGTACATAGTACCATTAACAGTATTTGTTCAATTTAGTTAACATCTGGCTTTGCATAGTAATCAGAAAACCTGATTTTTAAATACCATTCTGAGGACTCTAATGGAGTTTCTGAACAGATGGATTTATATCTATGACATTTTTCTCCCCTACCTGTTTGCCAGAGATCAGGACTCTGAAAGGAAAGCAGTATAGTACTATTCCCAACAGCTTTCCCCAGCGATTTTGGATGAAAATGCAACGCTGACCTTGGTATTTAATTATAGCTCAATGAAGATGTTAAAAAAAAAAAAAAAAAAACAGTGATAGCAGAGGGGAGAGAACACAGAATCTGGTTCTGGTGACATTGGTCATGTTCATTTTCTATCAGCATCCTTACCTCTTGCCCCTCTGTCTAATGCATCTGATCCCTTTGCCTCAGCGGGGGAAGACACCAGCCTCTCCAGGGTCCCTCCAAAGCACTATCCCTGCTCTCTTTCCATTCTTGCACTTTTATTCTAATGCAGCAACTACTTTTTATACCCATGTCTGTGGGGAGTACATGACAGGATCTCCAGATCTTTTTGTTTAATTATTTTTTTAATATTTATTTATTTTTGAGAGAGAGAAAGACAGCGTGTAAGGGGAGAGGGGCAGAGATAGAGGGAGACACAGAATCTGAAACAGGTTCCAGGGCCTGAATTGTCAGCACAGAGCCTGATGTGGGGCTTGAACCCACAGACTGCCAGATCATGACCTGAGCTGACACTTAACCAACTGAGCCATCCAGGTGCCCCTCCAAACATTTTTTATGTACTTATTTTTTTAGTAATTTCTGCACCCAATGTGGGGCTTGAACTCATGACCCTGAGATCAAGTCACATGCTCTACCCACTGAGCCAGCCAGGTGCCCCCTCCAAATGTTTCTTGATCAACACTTAGCATGCAGTAAGTCTTTTTGAGCACTTAGAACTAATGTACGTATATTTGATGTTTATAAATTACACACATTTAATACTGAAATACTACTTACGTTTTAAAGTGTACCCTAAAATAGGATTTAAAAAAAATGAGACAAATGTCCACAAACTAAAGTTCTGTTTTTCCCCCCTGTATTCCATTTGGATTATCTTGTGAATCCCTTGGGGTACATGCATCGTAGTATGGATTCAGAGTCATCTCTTTGTTTGTTTTTGCTTTTATAGGGGATGAAGACTTTACCAAAGAGATAACAGAGCTATTTTCCCAGCTTCATGTCTCCTCCAAACCTGAGAAGCTTGCCAGGGTAAGTTATTCTTGGTGATTTTCACTTGTTTTACTTTTGTTGATTTAATGGATAAAGATAAAGAATGTAAGATTATAACTTTCTGGCAAGTATGGCACCAACTTGGGGGCCGTATTCTGCGTTCTTTGCCTTCTGCCTGCCTCCTGCTCTCACAGGTTAACATGCAGATTTCACATCTGCCCTCCCTGCCTCCCACATCTGCCATCCTCACCTGTTTTCATTTGGAATGCTTATTTATTTGAAAGCTCCCATCAGGTCACAGTGGTGGCAGTGCTCACCAGACTTTGTGATACCAGTGGGCTCGCCTCTGTTGAGGCCTCACTGTTGTCAGGGCTCTGATCCAAAGATTATGGAATGTGGCCCCTGCCCTTATGGGACTGGATGGAGGTTAATAATTTCCCAGAGCCCAGTGACCATTTAGCATGTGAAAATGAGCATCCCATGGCCTAGGCCTGGGTCTTTGATGGTGATGCCTGAGCTATTTTCACACTTTTGAAACATGGAGGGCTTTTAGTCAAAGTGGGTAGGGAGACCTGTTTCCAGAGCAGTATTAATAGCACATATGCCAGTCCAGCTCGTGGGACACTATCCCCTGGGTCTTGGGCTGCTTGCTGTCTCTTCACCCACCTCTACCAGTCTTCAGAATCTCTTCTGGCCCAGGTAGCAGCAGGTGCACATTGCTTCCTGGCCAGGATAGCCACCACAGTCCCCTGCATACTGCAGGGTAAGGAATGTGATGCTTGATTTTGCTATCCCACTCTTGCTGCCCACTCTTGTTATCCCACTTCTTGTTATCCCAGTAAAAAGGCTGCACTCCCCATGCTTTTCAGTCACCCTTCAGGCAACTTGTCTTCCTCATCTCCACTATAGCACTTGACTACAGCACTTTTTTAGCTTGTATCATAGTGTTTTTTGAGTTGGTAATAATATCAAACTTAGAGAACAGTTGCACAAATAATGGAAATAAATTTGTATGTCTTTTATGCAAATACATCTGTTGTTAACATTTTACTTTATACATTTAATCATTTGTGTTTGAGCATTTGTTCTCTTGTTCCCACTCACTTTCCTTCCCCTCTTTTTCCTCCTCTTCTCTCCATACACATATGTCACATGCACACACACACATTATTATTGGGACTATTTTGGGGAATAAATTGCAAACATGATAGCCGTTTATTCATAATATTTATTCATTCAAATATTCATAAATATTTCAATATGTACCTGCTTAGAATATGGATATTCCTGTAGGTAACCATAGTAATTATGACCTGCAGTAAATTTAACATTAATGCTGTATTTTTATTTAATCTCTTGTCCACATTCTGGTTTGGCAGTTGGCCCAGCAATATCCTTCATATCATATATTTTCTTCTAATGTTGGACCCAGTACATAATCACAATTATATTTAGTTGTCATATACTTTGAGTCTCTTTTAATCTGGAATAGTTCCTCGCTTTTCTTTGTCTTTAATGATGAGAAATACAAACCACTTCCCTCATATAAAAATGGAGTATTCCTGATTTGGGGTTTGTCTGATGTTTGTTTATGATTTTTTAAAAATCTTTTTGAATGTTTTATTTCAGAGAGAGAGAGAGAGAGAGAGAGAGAGAGACAGCATGAGTAGGGGAGGGCCAGAGAGAGAGGGAGACACAGAATCTGAAGCAGGCTCCAGGCTCTGAGCTAGCTGTCAGTACAGAGCCTGACGTGGGGCTGAGCCCACGAACCGTGAGATCATGACCTGAGCCGAAGCTGGACGCTTAACTGACTGAGCCACTGAGGCATCCCTGTTTTCTTATGATTAAAGTCAGGTTGTGCATTCCCAGTCAAGAGACTTCATTAGTGGTTTTATATCCTTCCGAGGCTGCACAATGTCCATCTTCCCCATATCATGATGTGTTGTCTCATTTCTTACCGTATGGTTACAAATTTTTAATGTGCTGCTAGTAAACATTTTGTGGTAGATTTTTTTTTTTAATATTTTTATTTTATTTCTAGGATAGAGAGAGACAGCGTGAACAGGGGAGGGTCAGAGAGAGAGGGAGACACAGACTCTGAAACAGGCTCCAGGCTCTGAGCTGGCAGTCAGC